ACAGTGTTCTGGAAGGACTCTATCTCTCATCAACACATCGATACTCATTTGTTTTTATGTCAGGGATGGAAACTGCCTATCATTCCTCGTAACAGGAGGACATACTCAAGCTGCAGCACTCCTCTTCCGCTGCTCACCTCAAGCGCTCTCAGTTTTGAAAAGTCACAGGAGATGCCTCAATTGAACAAGACTTCACTCTTAAAAGTTAAAAAAAAAAACAAAACCAAGACCCTGGTATGACATATTAAGGCATATTAAGACCCTGGCCTGACCTAAAGAGAGAACACTTCCAGGTTAAGAGGACTTGATGACTGACAGTGACAGGCATCTAGAAAAACAAGAATCGCCCAGACGTGGATGCATGGAAAAAGGAGTGTCAGGGGCCTGCCCTTCCAAAGGGGGAGCAGAGCATTTAGTCCCCCCGACCCGCATAGGGTAGTTGGAACCAGAGGACCCCAGCATTTCAGTTCAACGGGCCTGTCAATGAATAAATAGTATGGTGGAGACACCCTGGATCACATCCTAACCTGATGGGATTAGCTGTGAGTTGACGCACTCCTGTGGCATGTGTAACAGTCCACTAGGAACGAGCTAACCTCACAGGATGTTCCTAGGCCCTGAAAGAACAGTACACTACTCAAGAGGCATTTCTGTCTTCACCCTTCAGATTCCTGAGTCTGCTGTGAGGCGTGGTCCTCGGATGGGTCAAGTCTTTGAATCTCAGGGTCAGGATGATCTCTGTACTATGATAAATACACCAAGAGACCTCTCTTTAGATTCCCCAGGCACAAGCTCAGTGTGACTCAGAGGTAACTTTTACTGTTACAAGAGCGGAAAAACAGACAAATCTGACGAGAAAAAGGGCAGAGATGAATACCTCGTGGAGAAAAGGAAAAGAACTGCTTTAAATGTACACATCCTTTACTTTCCCTTTGAGGAGACTCTTTTCAAACTCTAGTGTGTGAAATAAAACTATTGGGCTGGAAAGATCACCCAGTGGGGAAAGGTGACTGCCACTAGGCATGATGAACTGGGTTTGATTTTGATACCTAACACGGAGGAAGGACAGAACAAATGGCGGATAGTATCTTCTGATTCCACATGTAGAGGCACACAAATGCTGCCCCCCATGAACAAAGGTAGTATTTTCTTTTTAAAGAAAGAACGGAATAAAATTCTTGAACAGACATTCGCCACAACGGTCCTTCCTCAAGGTGGAGAAGCCACCCTCATGAGGTTACCTTTAGGCCGGTTTTAAATGGCTTCTCCTTGGTTCCATCTCCTGTTGCGTCGTTTCCTTCTCGGTCAGAGACATACAGCTCTGCTGTTTGTAAAAAGAGGAAAAGTTACTCATCGTTCATCAATAACTCTCAGCCACTTTACCTTGCTGCAGCTCTATCCATTTTCTATCTTTGAAAACAGAAAAAGCATCTGGTTTGTAAAAAACACCCACAGGCCAAAAGAAATCAACATATTATTTTTTCCCCGATCTCCCTTTTTAAGACTATCCCACCAAGCATAATGAATTACAAAACTGATTTAACCTGCTGGAACGACTCTTCCTTGAGTGAACAATAAAGCCGGGATTTTGAAATCCATCCTATCTTGATTAGATGCTATACCTTAAATTAAAAGCCAGGGTGACCCGGCGAGAATTTATTTAACCTTACTGTGCTTATTTCTTTATCTTTAAAATCAGGAAAACAATATATGCCTTACAGGGCTGTATGTACTGAGGATGAAACACAACAAGATGTGAATCAGGCATCCCGGTAAACAATGAACCGAGAGCAAATGAAAAATGACAGTTCCCTCTGCTCTTCAAAACAAACCCAGTCTCTGGGGTTAAACCGCAGAGGGCCTCACAACTGCTAGGTCTAATTGGGACATTGCCTCGGTCTCTCAAATCTTTTATTTCTACGGCTGCAAATCTCAGCAGAAAAATGAGGTTGTGCGAAAAATAATTACAGTCTTAAATCTTCCATAAGATCAAGAGAATATCTGCATATTTGGGGGTTTCATTAGGTTCCAGAGCCTTGCTGAGCCCCAGTCTGGGCGGCATCACAAGCCTTTGGCAGTAGGGCTGGGCTAGAGAGGCGGTGGCCGAGGGACCCACAGGGCTGGAGTAGAACCGGACTTAGGTCACCGAGTCCGGTGCCCAGGTGGCCCAGGTCTGAGGGTCTGGTGCGAAGGACCAGAACCCCACAAATATTTGGGAGCGTGCCCATGCTGCGCCAAGAACGAAAGGGAGTTCTGAGAATTCGGCCGGAACAATTCTGTACCGGACCACAAGCCGAACCTCACTCACCGAGTACCATCCCTGCAGTCGCCCTGATCACCTCCGAGGACATCGATTCCGCACCACCGCAGCCTGGTCACCTCAACGTGCACACAAGGCTTCCTTGACTGAAGCATTGCATCATACCGTGTAGCGCAGCCGTCGCGAATATGAGTCAGCGGAACATCGGGCATCCATTGGCTGCAGAAGGTGGGCAAGTGACGCAGAGGCCGCCATGTTTGGTCAGGGAAGAGAACACTTCCGGTTCGGAGGTACTGGGCGGGGTGCCTTCCCGGGACTCCGGAGGCGGAACTGGGTCTCTCTGGAGTGGGTTGGACAGCGTGGTTAAGCTCCCTGCCTTCCCGACTCTGCACCTAGCTGAACACATGGCAGATTCTGTTTCTGAGTCAACCAATATGAGGGAAAAGGGTTTTTAGATGTATTTTTAAAAAACTTTTATGTGTGTTTTGCCAGCATCTATGTACGTACACCAGGTGTGTGCTTTGTACAAGAAAAGTCACCGCATCCTTTGGAACCGGAGTAAAGGATGGCTGTGAGCTGAGAAACGAACTCGTGAGAGTAACCGGTGCTCTTAACCTCTGAGTCCCCTATAGTTTTTTTTTTTTTTAAAGAAAGGAATTGTGATGAGCTGACCATCTACCTGCTTCCCCCACAGAACAGTTTATATAGCATTTAATTGCATTAGTTGATCACTAATCCACAAATGGTTTAAAATAAGCATGAGGATTTATGTAGTCTCATTGCAGACACTATGCTACTGGATATAAGGCGTCCGTTATTTCACTATTTGCATGCGTTGTGTTAAAGTCCCCGAGATACCTAGAGACGACCGTGGATCTTCCCTGTCACCAGTCAGATTATGATAACGTGTCTGGCCAGTATCGGTTTAGCGCTTGCAGCACTGCCTGGAGTTGAGGAAGCGCTTGGTTAATTCTCCTAGACAAACAGTCTCATTTAATCAGAACTTCCAGAAGCTGGCGTTTCCTTGATGCATAGCTGAGAGTCCCTTCCAGAAACGGGCTGAAATTTGACAGTGCCCTTTATTGTTTGACTCACTGACGGAATTGTGGTTAATTAGTGACATTGTTCAGACTGTGGCCAGTTGAAGGGCGCTTTGTTCTTCTGGTCACCGTGTTCCCGTTCTGTTCTCCAGATTGTTCTGGTATGTCTACTGGGTCCATTTGGTTTGCGGTGCACGTAAAGGGGTTTGTCTGTATTTAACTTTCACCATAGTTACCTGCTAATCTTCAGGGCATACGAATCCGACGTCGCCATATTGATTTCGGGCGACTTCCGGGTTCCTCTTCTGGGTCCTGTCAAACCCGCAGAAGACTTCCAAGAGCGGTCATGTGTGTTTAGTATTTTGCTCCACAAAACAAATTTTGAAGAGAGAAGAGAAATCACTGTGATTTCTTCTTACCCCGTCCCATCTTGAAAAAGGATGTAGGGCATGGAAAATATAAGTAATGTATAAAATCCGTAACTGCAGACAGCAGTAGAGATATATATCACTACCAGACTATTTTCAGGAACTGAAGATTCAACTTCCCTCTCAAATTGGAGAGTTAAATTTAAGCAAAAGTTAGTTCCTTCGTTCGTTAGTTAGTTCTTGGAGAACTTTTTCTTTGGTAATCCTCCAGCCGTTTCAAGTTTGTGAACTGCTTGTCTGTAAGCATCCAGGAGCAATAAGAAATAAAAATCGTTTAAAAATTAATATCACATTAGAGAAGACGAGTTTGAGCAATTAGGGCTCTGAAACCATATACACTTGAAAATAACACAACTGGCTCCATGACCTTGATCTGGACCCTAACCTCTTGAGTCCTGGATACTTTGAAAAATGAAAAGTACACATCTCACAAAAAGCATACTATATGTATCATGTCCACACTAATCTGAATTAGGAAGTGACACTTGGTACTCCTTTGTTCCTGATCATGCGTGAATTAAACCTTCAGCCTAATTTCTGAGGGTTCTGGTGGACTCCTCACTCTTTCCCCATCTCCCTCCCTCCCCTCCTCCCATCCACACGAATGAGCTCCCTAGCCAGTGTCCCATAAGGTCTCCTACGGTCTTGCCCCAGCTGCTAGCAAATGACTTGTCTTTTGCTTCACGTCATTATCTGGGACCTCTGCTAGCTCTCGCTTGAAACCTACACACTTCCTGTTTCAGCATCCATCTTTCCCATTTTATTCAGTGCAAGTAGCAGCCTGATTAAGGCAGCCAGCTGGAGTCTGCACTGGGATTCTTGGGCACCTCAGAATGTCCCCTGGGGCGAGGCTTCTAAGTAAAGGAGCAAATAGCAGTAGATAGAGATATAATATCAAGTCAAGCCCTCAAGACGGTCAGCAGAAACCGGCTTTGGACGTTGAGGCACCAGGCTGAGCATCACACAGCTGACCTTGCCTCTTCTTCCCCATTATTATTATTTATTTATCCCCCTCCGCAAACAAGGAGCCTTGGAAGATACTATGAGACAAACAGGTTTGGGTCTGAAATAGGGGTGGGGGGGGACCAGCCCACATCCAGATCTGACTTTTTGGTGATTTCAAACAGTACATGATAATTCATTAATACATTACAGATTCTATGTTAATTTAGCTTAATAACAGTATTCTCTTCTATCCTGGGGCCAATGACCTCCCTTATTATGGGATATTTATTTATTTATTTATTTATACCATTTTAGGGTTCCCGACATGCACTCCTTCCTGTTGAACAGGCCTGAAGTCCAGTCATAGTTGGTTATCCCCATAGCACCCTGCATAAGTGGGCACTTCTGTTTGACAACTTGGTCTTAGAGTTTTTGTGGTTCACAGCTTGGTAAGGCTGTTGATGCCTTTTCTCCCCAGAAGCCAGAGGATCACCTTCTGGAACTATGAAAGCTAGCTAGGAGAGAGGAAGCTTCCAGCTCAGCTCTAGACTGCTTTCTCTGTGTCATGTAACCAAAAGTAGGATCTTACCATATAGTTCTTTCTGGTGGGCGAAAAGATGCATGTCAAGAGCATGCATTGTGGGGTGGCACTCTAAGGTTTCTTTAACCAACCGTTGACGGCAAGGTGTCTCCCCCCTGGACATATCCAGTTTTGCCAGAACAATCTATGGGAGAGATTCTCTTTTGTTTTCTGTGTATCTTTATTGTCTTTGTCAGAATCACTTGGCTGTATAAATGTGAAGCAATTTCCAGGTTCTCTTTTTATTGCACTAATTGTGTATATGTATTTACATTAATTACATCTTTATTTGTATGTTGCTGTGGGAAGTATCACAACTTGTATTTACCTGCCTACTGGGGCGTGGCCTCTTATACTATTTACGGGGAAGCCGGATCTGCATGCGCCCCTTTTGGTCTCCTGCTGCTTGCTCCCTTCCCACTGGCTGCTCCTTTGGATCATGTGATTCAACTGGTCAAGTGGAGGATTCTGTTTTGTGAGTTTACCCCTTAGTAAATGACTATCTGTTTCTCCATTCTGAGCTAGTGTGGGATTTCTTTTAAGCATCTGACCAGCAAACACCTGGCACCCAACCACCTAAATGCTATATGTGTGTACACACATGAACGTAGGTAGACACATGCTGTAGTCCACATGTTAGGGTCAGAGGACAATGTGCAGGAGTCAATTCCTTCCTCCCACTATGGGTCCCAGGGATCATACTCAGGTCGTCATTCATGGTGGCAAATGGCTTCTCTGTGCCAAACCATCTTGCTTGCTCAAATATATGTTTCTGTGATAGATAGTACGATGCTTTTCTGTTACTGTAGTTTCTTTTTTTAATCTAAAACTTTTTAAAATTAAAAAATATCAAACGTTATAGTAACAAAACAGGCAGTGACAAATGTCAGGGATCGTACAGAGATAAGCAATTTCTCACAGAGCATCCAACCTCAGTCTGAAGTGAAATAAGTCAATTATCTAATCATTTAAAAAACTCAATTTGTCAAAGAGCCTCCTACTGTCTTCTTCCTGGGGGACAGGGCTGAGGAAGAGTATTGCCACAGTCATGTGGGTATGAGGGAAAGCCCCACATTGTGTCCACATTGCTCAACCCTATCCTCAGGATCCAATAAAGACCAGTCATAATTTGCAAAGTGGCAGAGTGTAGCATTTTGCACCCACCATGGTAATTCTTGCATCAGGTTGTGTGTGTGTGTAGTTTCATGTGCTGGGCCATGTGGTACAATCTCCAGAAAGAGTGGTCACACAGGTCACACTGGAAGGGCCAGTGGCATGTGTGCTTGTGAAAACGTTAGTGAGCTGTTTGAGCATGTGGATTCCGGCTGCAGCTCTCACTGTTGTAGCTAGTCCTTCCTACAATGGTGAGTTCCAGACCCTACTTAAAAAAAAAAAGCCAGGCGGTGGTGGTGCACACCTTTAATCCCAGCACTCGGGAGGCAGAGGCAGGAGGATCTCTGTGAGTTCAAGGTCAGCCTGGTCTACAAGAACTAGTTCCAGGCAGGCAACAAAGCTACACAGAGAAACCCTGTCTTGAAAAGCCAAAAAAAAAAAAAAAAAAAGCAACATCTGAGGAACGGCAACCCAGGCTGTCCTCTGGCTCCACAAACACATGCCCCTCCCCACATATGGCCAATCAGCTTTGTAACTTATAGAGATCTCTGTGTGATTGATTTTCCTTGAGATTTACTGGTTGTGGGGTACTAGGCGGGACAGATACCCCAACAAGCTGGCCCTCATGCTACTTATGGCGCCCACGTGGATAACTGAATCCACAGAAAGCTTGAGAAAGCTTGGGAAATAATAGAGTAAAGCATGTTTTCTTGGTAGCAGCAATTTCTCGGGTCTGCTCTGCTTGCTAGAGGCAAGCAAGTGCTCTCATCTAAGAGAGGCTTCTTGACTTTAGCTGCAAAACTTTGTAGCTCATTAAGAGGTCCTGCCACGAAACACTTAAACGGTGTTGATGAAAAGCTGAACGCATGCTTTTCGGTTTTCAGCCGTAGCAGGAAAAAAGGTGTGCTGTTTTAAAATGCCGGCTTTCTGGGCTGTCCTGCCAGGACAAACTCTGACTCATGCAGGCAGGCAGTCCGACTGAGTGTGATCTGTGAGCAGAATGCTGCGGCTTGCTTGCTGACAGGGACCTTGAAACACTGTAGACTTGTGACCATAAAAATGGCTCCAGCAGTAC